GGAGCACCTCAATTTCCTATGATATATTGGAATGCTGCAGCTGCACTCTATGCTTATGCATGGGCTAAAATATCTCGACAAAGAATTGATGTTGTTGGTCATAGTCAACTTGTTGGTTAGTATTGCGCAATATATTATTTTCATGTGAATCTTCTTTTATTTTGATTGATAGGATATCCAGAACTACCTGATCTTCAACTTCAGCCACAATATCCAAGTGTTGCTTTGCTTAATTGGACTACAGGCGAAGGAACAGCTAAATATTGGACATCAAAACTTCTTATTGAAACAGTTGATATTGATAATGATGAAGGAGTTGTAACACAAACAAGTGATATTAGTGGAGAAAATATTTTTAGTCAAGCATTTGTAGGTAAAAATGGTCGTCGATGGGTTTTAATTATTAATAAACGATATGCTAATGTTGATGTATTTTTACCTGGATGTACTGGTGGTCGAATGCAAATTATAAATGAAGCATCTGGTTTTGGACCAGCTACTGAAGTAACACTAACATTGAGTAGAATAACACTAAGTCCGTATGCTATTGCTGTTGTTCATATGCCTTCTGTAAATATAGAATGACACAAGAAACAAAATAATTTTATTTTGTGTTATATGATAATCTAATCAAAATTTGTATTTGTGATTTTCTTTTGAATAATTCATACTAATAGATTAGCAGTGTTCATCTTCAACCAATGGATACCTTGTTTTTTTTCTGTATCTTCTGTTTTTCTTTTTGATCATCATTGATTCGTTATATGGGTAAAAACATTTTTTTCTATTGTACTCAATATAGATTATTATGGACATAGTTGGAACAATGAAATAAAAAATTGACTGATAAATTGAAGTTTTTCTTTTCTTTTTCATTTTTAAAGTGGCTGCTTGTTTATTCTAGCAACTGCATAAATTGTAGATAGTAAAATGCAACGAATATTAGATTTACAAATGCCTATAAAAATTTTTGCATATAATATTAGTTGATATTTTATTGATGTGGCTTACTAGTAGATGATGATAAAAAGAAACAATTTGAATATCTCCACTCTATGAATATCTTCACTCTATTTTAATTCAATGGGATTTTATTTTCGTCGATGATAGAATAGATGATTGTTCAAAGTTTTTGTTCACAAAAGAGATATCGATAAAATCTGTCTGCAACTGTTATAATTGCCTTCAAGAAGAAAAAATGATCTTCTACGATTTATGTTAAAAAATATACTCGACATATATATTCTAAATGTTATCTTGGATAAGTAAACTCTTGTAAACTTAGTAAACTTTTTGTTTCGAATTATGAATGGAATATTTCTCATTTAATTTGCTTATAATTGAAAGTTGTCATGCATATACATCATTTTTTTTTCAAAATTTTGTGCAGCGTCATTTTGCTTTCTTTAAGCCAATTTCAATACCTTAATGCAGTATTTATTGACATTTTTTTTGTTAAGAAAAACTTTAAATATTCCTCTATCATCAACAGAAAAATATTTCATTTAATGAAAAACAATGTAGATATTCAATTCTTTTTTATCTTTGACTCACTGATGGATTACATTGTAATGAACGTGTTAACAAAATTGTATTACTTTTTTTTTTTTGAGTTATAAAGAAACAAGTTTCATCTTAAGCGATC